CCCCCCCCCGGGAAAGCCCGCGGGCCCCGCAGATCTGGATCTGGCCCACCGGCTCATCAGCGCAATGTCCCTAATGACGCAGGCTGCTATAATTAGACCCACGGAGGTGCTGACTTGCCCGAGTCTTGCCAGTTTGCCAGACGGGCTTAGCCTTTCCCTCCCAACCCCGGGTGTGGGAGTTGAAGCCAGCAAATCCTCACAAATGCATGCCTTGTGCAAAACCAGGGTTTCTGGGGACTCGGGATGGGGTCGGGGAGTTGCCAACACCCTTAGCCAAGGCACAAGTCTAGGGAGCAGCAGAGCATCCCATAGGAATAGGCTCCAGAAGCCCCATAACCTGGATTTTCAAAGTGCACATGGGGTAGGATTTTTTTGTTTGTTTTCTTGAATGATTTTATGGTCCAGCCTCCTTCCATGGAGAAGGTCAGGTCACGGGTCTGTCCTCTGGGCTCTGTTCCTCAAGCCGAGGAAGAGCAATGTGAAGCGGCTGCCTAGAGGGGGAGGACTAAACAAGTAACTTAGAGAAGTTACTTGAGAACGCACCTTAAGCCCAGCTCTTCCAAAGAAACTGAGGCACCTAATTCCTACAGAAAGCCCTCCGCACCCGAAAGAGACATGCAGAAGCATTGATCCGACTGGGAACATGATTCTAGTGGCCCTCAACCTCCAGAAACACCCTTATATTCAAGACCACCCGAATACATGGCAGGTGCCTTGTCCTCCCTTACCTGTCCACGCTGATGATGCACAAGGTCATGATGGAGGCGGTGCAACACATAACGTCCATGGCGATAAACACGTTGCAAAAAACCTTCCCAAAGAGCCACTCTCCCCCCACCAGGTCTGTGATGGTCACGAAGGGCATGACAGCGAAGGCCACCGACAGATCGGCAGCTGCGAGGGACACCACCAGGTAGTTGGAAGGCTGACGGAGCTTCTTGACGATGCACACAGAGATGATGACCAGCCCGTTGCCGGCGATGGTCATGAGGATGATGATGGAGAGCACCGCTCCGATGACGATCTTCTCGGTGTCCCCATAGAGCAAGATCTCCTCGCCGCAGTCCGTCGCGTTGGTGAGGTTGGAGGACGGCAGGTCTGGCTCGGCTGGGACGGAGGGTTCCTCAGTCATGAATGGATTCGTGAGCAATTTCTGAGCCGGGTGCTGCTGCTCTGCGTTCTCCACGAAGAGAAGATGGTGCTCCAGAAATCGCCTGGGGCTGACCCTTAGCAACATGCTCCGAGCTCACCGCGGCGGGCAACGGCACGAGTTTTCTCCTGGCGATGACACCTCCAGTGACAAACCGGAACATTTTGTTACAAACAGGCTAAGAAAATCAAACATCCCCCCCCCCCCCCCCCCGGCTCTTGCCTCCCAAAGCTGTGGCTGGATCTCACGTGCTTAGCAAGAAGCCGCTTCCCAAGTCTGCTTAAAGACATGCAGTTTGCTGGAGGATGCTCAGAGAAAGCTCCTCTCCACTTTTATAGGGGCACAAGCTGCTCAGTCCGCCTGCAACGGCTCCTCATCGCCTGCGTGCTTTTCCACGAGCACGGATAACAGCAGCGGATCGTAACTGCCCATGTTATTATGCGTCGCTGCCAAGCTGCGCTGCTGCTCTCGCACTTCTCCCGTGCGTCCGTACCTTTAAATCCCATGCAACCACACGCGTGTTCTCGTATGTGGCTATCGCAGCGGAGTATGTGACAACACAAGCCACAAACGCCAGCGCACGCATCACCCGCCGCATCTCCCGCATGCGTTAACGCATAAACTTCAAAGCTGTGGCTGTAAATCCACGCACACGGTGTGTAACGGCAACACGCGACCGTACGTACCCACAGGAGCGCGGTGCGGAGCTGCGGATCCCAGTGGGAGCGTATCCATCCCATGCAGCACCCCCAGGGTATACCACGCACGGTCAGGGCATCCCAACCCATGCCCGGAGCTGGGAGTATCACCACCGCACACATCGCAGAGATACACGGAAGGCAGCTACCGCGCTCCCACCCCCCCGGGTATTCACCCCTGTAAGTATTTCCCAGCCATCAACAGGGAAACTTTAGGGCAAGGCTCACCCCTATGCAGGGCTCCAAGCATCACGCACAACCTGCATCCTCTTCTTTCTCTTTCAAAGCCCTTTTTTCCCCTTGAAGGGAGTTGTCTTTAAATCAAAGCAGGATTGCAACCCCTCCACCCCCCCCCTTCCCTTTTGCAGCTCCCCCCCATCCACCCCAGGCTGGGGTGATGTGGCTCCCAAATTTACCTGTGCTTAGGGGGTGAGACATCCTCCAAGCAAGCCCCTGCGAGCTCCGGGCAGGCAAGAAAGCAAAGAGCCACCCCCGGAGCATCCTTGTCCCCTCCCCGGTCCCTCCTCTCCCCCTCCCCTCGCCTCCCCCCGGGCAGGGACCCAGCTGGTCCCTGGCTCCCTCAGAGCCCCAGGGAAAAGCAAAAAGCAGGGAGGAGGGATTGGAAGGGTCCAGGTCGGGTCCTGCAGCCACCCCAGCCCTGCAGTGATGGGTTGGAGGGGGTGGGATGTGTGCGAGGATGTCGAGGGAAAGGCTGGAAGTTGCGAAGATGCTTTTGGAGGCAGTCCTGCGGTGCAGGCGCAGGAGGAGCAGGCTGAAACCCAGCAGGCAGGGTAAAGAAGAGGGGTACAGAGAAAGGCTATTTCCAGAGTGCTCTTCCCCTCCCGCCCTTTTTTTTTTTTTTTTTACAGGAAAGGGTTTCTTTCCCTGCTTCATGTATTTTTCCCCCCCCCCCCCGCTTAGAGGAGGTCCCATATTCATTCAGCTCCGCATTAAAGAGCAGCAAACAGCCAGGGAGAGGCAGATCCCTAAAGATGAGCCTTTCCCTTACCCTAATAAAATCGAAACAGAGAGACTAAACAAACCAAGCAAAAGCATGCAGAGATCCATCTCCATTTCCCTCTCAGCCAAACGTTTCACAGGTGCTTTGGTGCTGGGATTGCACTTCAACCCGGGGCATCAGACAGCCGCTCTTCGCTCCTCCCGGGGCGAAAGAAGCGGAGCAGAGCCATCTTCTGCATCCTGTGTCCCTTGGGGTGATGGGTGTTCAGCCAGGAAGGGTGCAGGCAAGCGGCTTCGGAGCTGTTTGCAGGCTTGGAAAGTGTATCCCACCACCCTGTCCCTTGCTAAGCACTTTGGGAGTGAGATAAGGACCTCCATCCCTGGTGCCACCAGCTCCATCACCCATCCCAGGGCTGTGCAAACACCCTGGCACCCTCCAGCCCTCCTAGGAACAGCACGGAGGGCTGATTATGGGAAAAAAAAACCCCCACCCATCTTTAAATCTCTGAGATGCAGAGCCCTGCATTACCTTGGGTCAGGGTCAGCACCAAACCCAAGAGATTTTCTTTTTTGGAGGCAGATGTTCCCTGCAAAATACACCTGTAAGGAAGGCGCTGGCGACCTAAAACAGGGCTGTTAAGGCTGTACTTAACACCAGGGTTTCTTCTTTGCTGCTCAAGCATCACAGCGTGCGTGGGAGGCTGGCTAAAATAGCTTCCTCGCCAGGGCAGGGTGTGCTGAAGCTCTGGCTTTTTTACTCTTTGCATTATAAATGGGTTTTTTTCAGCCCCTCGAGTGCGATGACATGCCAAGATGGGATGGAGCTGATGATACACAAACACAACCTGCAAAGCCCAGTCCCTGTGCTACCTGGGGAGCGGGGGCTGCTTCCATAGCCAGTCTGAACTCCCCAATATTTGGCAGAAAAATACACCCGGTATTTCCAAGTAGAAAGGAGGATCTGCAGAACTCCTTGCTGCAGGACCAGAGGATTCTGCAGTCTCAAACCCCAGACAAATTCACCCAAGAAGAAAACCATTCCCTAAGGACCAGCTCTTACATGCCAAGGCAGTCTGTCGCCAGATGCCCGGAGAGTTTCAGGAAAACCATTTGCGCACGAGCTGCAAAATCCTGCCCTGCTTTTCACCTCTGGGACCGGGGTTTGGCTGGAAGGATACAGGGTGGAAGATGAGCAGGAGGTTTTTTTCTATCTTCTCTGGAGGTTGCCTTTGGGAGAGTAACATGGCGAGCAGCTCCCGTGCATTAGCAAGGAGAGACAGGGAGGGATTTGTTTTTCTCTCGATGCGCTGCTGGGAATCAGCCGGCTTATGTGCAGCAGCCAAATTCATGTCCTGGCAGAGGAAGAAAACAGAGAAGGTGCTTATAAAGGTGATGAACTTCATGGGCCCTTTGCTCTGGCCAACCACTTACACTACTTATGGCAGACCCTCAAAACCCTGCAGTAGCTTCAGGGAGCAGATTTACCCTCCCTGTCTCCCATCCCAACCCCATTTTTGTAGGATACAAATTATACCTTCTCCCTTCCAAAATGCCTGTAGGGATGGGGACTCCAGAGGAGGGTTTTTTCTCCCCTTTCTAGGGGGAATGAGCTGCTCTGATAATTTGGGGTGCAGCAAAATCCCTGGAAAAACAAGGGCAGCGAGCTGCTGGCCAGCTCATGGGACATGCACTGGGCGGCTGGAGGGCACGTTCTCTGCACAGGCTGATTTTCTGGGAGGACAGAAGGGAAAATGCCAATTTTTGTGTAAAGGAAGGATTAAAAATAATAATTCTTCTGCTCCCTAAAACTCTTAGTGAAGCACTTCTCCAGCTGCAGGCCATGATGACCTTGTTAAGGCACTTGCTCCTGGGGCATGCTAGGAAGTGTTAATTGCATTTAATAGCCATTAAGGGAGGAAATGGCCAGCATGCCTTAGCTTAGCCACTAACTATAGCTTTCTCTCTTTGCCCGAGAAGAGACCACAGGTTTGGAGGAGCAGGGATGTTGCTGGTGTGAGATGGATGAACCCCAAAGAAAATTGTCCTTGCAAAATAAATCTGAGAAGTTGAAGATGCAAAATAGCCAAAGTTCCCCCCCCTCCACCTGAAGCAGGCAAGAGATAAACAAAGTCCTCCCACTGTTTCATGAAGGCAGTGCCCAGATACATTCTTCCGTCTTCATGTACAAATGACCGTTAAAGTGGCTATTTTATTAACTATTAATTGTTAATATTACACCCTATTAACTCTAATGGCAAGGTAATAGGCACAGTTATTAATATGCAAATTCTGAGAAATCTCATTAACTCCAAGGTCCTCAACCTCTCAATATTTTCAGGACTAGCATCCCACAGCAATCTTCCCAGTATCGCACATGTTGACATTTCTCCCTCCGAGCAGGCAGAGCCTGTCCCAACAGATAAAATTAATCACTCAACGCTATCAGCTTTCAAGGAGCATCACTAAGGACTGCTCTTGCCTCCAGAAAAGTTCACGATGAACTGGTCTGGGGTAGCTAAACCCTCTCTGATTTGGAAACAGAGGGGCTTGACCCACTTAAGGTGGCCAATAACCTGACCACGTGCAGATACCATGGAGCAGGTTGCCCAGAGAGGTTGTGGCTGCCCCATCCCTGGCAGTGTTCAAGGCCAGGCTGGATGGGGCTTGGAGCAACCTGGTCTGGTGGAAGGTGTCCCTGCCCGTGGCAGGAGGGGTTGGAACTAGGTGATCTTTAAGGTCCCTTCCAACCCCAAACTTTCTATGATTCTATGACCATGGTGCTTCTCCAGTGGTTCTGTTCAGGAATAATGATGACCGCGGTGTTTCAGGGACCCAAATTGCTCAAAGCATCACCTCCTCCCTGTGGGCCTGTGTCCTGTTTTCCCTCTGAGGCTCTTCCCTCCCAAAGACAGCCCCATCTCCTCCTGATGAGCACTGAAGCCTAGCTCCCCAGAGGCGGTCACCCAGCAAACACCATCTCAGTGGGGTTGGGAATGTGGTACCCAAGAGATGGTTGGGTCTTCCAGACATGGACCCCTTGACTTGGGCGGCCAGTTTCAGCCCATCAGTGCCGTGGGCTGGGGAATGGGGCTGGTAGAGGTCTGCAGCAAATGAACCGGAGCTTAGGGGGAAACTGAGGCACTTGAAAGGCCCAAGGGGGCAGCAAAGCTCTGCATTTAAACTTTAAAACCACACGCGTCCTTTAAAAATCAACCCACAATTTTAAACAGGACAAAATGTGTTTGAAGAAGAATCCCTAAATAAGACACGATAGTGTTGAAGTGGAACAGTTTTGGTTGGACTAGGACAAGATCTCCTCCCTGTCCCTCTTCCATAGCATGAAGCCCTCAGCCCAGCTGAGCATCCCTGCATCGTCCCGTCTCTTTAGCTGCCCTCTGCACCACAGCAGCAATAAAGAGGTTCGCCCCTT